TCCCTTTGCCTTTTCGCCTTTTAGTTCTGGAGAGTCTTGGCTTCTGGGAGGAAGTCAGGGGGATCATCTCAGAATCAGAGCTGCTCACGGGACCTCCCTGTACCTTCAGGGTACCAGGCCTACCCCAGTACCTCCAGAGCCTCACCAAACTGGCCATCGCCGCCATGTGGACAGTGGTAGCCACGGCTGGGGAGCAAACCGGAGATGCTCCCATCTCCTTCTCACAGCTGTTAGAGTCTTCCTTCCCTGAAGTGCGCTCGCTGGCTCTGGATGCCCTTTTGGAAAAGTTCTCGTCAGCAGCCTCTGGATCAGGAGAGAAGGGACTGCCACCATTGCTGCGCAACATGGGAGAGAAGTTCTTATTGCTGGTGATGAAGGAAGATCACCCGGAGTGCTTCTGCAAGGTAAAGTCTCTAAGTACTGACTGTCCCCTCCCGCTCCCCCATCCTTCTGTGAGCCGTGACACACAGGATCACAAAGGCAAGATTGATTTGGGCTCTCCAAAGGCAATAGCAAGTAGATTCAGCATCCAGAGGGTAAGCACTCCACTGGTTTGGTGCCTGTCGTGGCTTCTGGTACAGAAGGGAACCTAGGAGCAGCTTTTGGTCACATTGCATTGATGACAGACACTGACCAAAGTCAGAGAAGCCACTCGATGTGTAGGAAAGATGTCTTTGCTGACAGGGCTTTTTGGCAGATGACAGTCTAGAGGCATAGTCAAGAGGAAAGAGCACTGACACAGCAATCTGGGCATCTTGCTCCACTCCCAGGTCACTCGGGCCCTCAGATTTGTCCTTGTTCCACCCCGCCTCAGTCTCCCACAGGTATTACCAGGAAATAAGTCATTGAGAGTCTTGAAAGTTAGGCCTTCCCTACTCCCCCTCGTTTGTACAAGTTCCTTTTGCATCTGGAGACTTTTCTCTGAGTATTTTTTTGCCTTTTTTTTTTTTCTTTATGGGTTTGACTCCCACAGATACTGAAAATTCTTCACTGCATGGACCCCAGTGAGTGGCTCTCCCAGACGGAGCCCTGTGTCCATCTAACCCCCAAGGAGTTCTTGACCTGGACAATGGACATTGCCTCGAATGAAAGGTTCGTCCCCGGCATCCTTGTGTAACCTGCAGGATGTGTGGTCTCATCAATCATTATGCAATGGACTTGCTCACAGTTCTGACCGAAAAACTCTGGTTCTTTATTTCTGTTTTAGCCTCCAGTCTAGGAGCAGAGCTCCTAAACCAAACAATAGAATGATGTCAGCATTTCACATTAACGACACCAAGCTGGCCCTGTCACCTGGTGGTTAAGGGGAGTGGATCTCACATGGCCAACCACAGTTTGAATCCTGGCCGTAATTCATAGAAAACACTCAGGGCATGTATATGTGCATGCCCAAAATCTCAGCGGGGTAGAAAAATGGAGGAGGGGATTGCACTGTGGCTACACCCACTGAGGGGTGCTTTCTCCCTCTGTCTCTAACAAGCACAAGAACTGTCTAACTAAATTTTTTTTTAAATAATAAATTTTAAAAAGTAACTAAAAGGTAATCTGGAGGCATTTATATAGCCAGGACGTAGAGGTTTTCTGTGTTCACATTTGCATGGATTGCAATCTGCCAAAACCATCTGTGTATAAAATATTTGTTTTATGTTGTTTTTTAGAGAATTTTTTTTCTATAGGGCGTGTGCTTGCCTGAGAGACAGAAAGTGAGAAATCACCCCCTCCCCGGCAGTATGACCTTGCCACAATCCCTTCTCCATTCTCCTCTCAAATCGTGGGCATGCGCACACACATGCCCAGCATGAGTTTTAACCCACTGGGTCTGGGACTCAAGCTACAGTCAACTACATGGAGGTACAGCGATATAACCATTACACCTTCTGGTGGTCCCAAAATGCTTGATTTTTATTTTTGTATGTCTTTTTGCTTACATTTTCTAGATCTGAAATTCAGAGCGTAGCCCTGAGACTTGCCTCAAAAGTAATTGTCCACTACATGCAGACACATGAGGAGGTAAGGCCTATTCCTGTTCTGGGGCCTGCTTTTTCTGCTCTTATTTACACAGAGGTATCGGTAGAAATGAACTGTCCTGGCAAGCAAAGTCACTGTAGGGTGTGTATGTGTGGCTTGTATGAAAACGTGTTGGGTTTTCACTTTGAATGTAACTTGTCAAGACATTTTGAGCACTGTCTTTCTCTTCTCTTGTTGTAGATATTTTTGATTAGAGGCCATGAGGTAATACAACCCAGCACACGTACAAAGGAATTTCAAAAAGTTCACAGAGAAATGGAACTGAAATATAGGTTTATTGGGCCAGCAGGTGGCATGGTGGTTAAGACTCTAGACTCCCACATGGCCTACTATAGTTCGAGTCCCAGAACTGGTGCCTTGCTTTTTTGCTTTCCCTTTCTCTCTCTCGCTCTGTCTCTCTCTGGTCAAATTAAAAGATAATAATAATAATAATAAAATTAAATGAATAATTCTTTTTTTAAAGAGTTTTTTATTTGATATTATTTATAATTATTATTCAATTTACTATAGGGTAGGTGCACTCACCAGAAAGGGGGGTGGGGGGTGTAAGAAAGCAAGCTGCCAGGTCTGGGACTCGAACTATGATCAGCATATGGGAAGTCCAGCACTTCAACCACCACACCAACTGCCGACCCCAATTCTCTTTCTTTTAATGATTTTTTTTTTTTTTGCTGCAAAAAAATTGAAATCCATGAATAATTTTTTTTCATAATGCACATTTTCCTTGAGCTTTTTGAAGATTCCTTATATGCCCAAACTCCTTGGTTTTTCCAGTTCGCTAAACTTCTTATTTAATAAGGAGTACGCAAGTCGATTCCCAGAATATTTCGGATTGCAACCTCATGAACTAAGTATGAAAATACATTACTAAGGCTTAAATATTCCCCCAAAACTTGGCCCAGCTAGCTCTGGATGGAGGCCCAGATGTGCCCACCTGTTTTTCATCTCTCTAGGGATGAGGTGGAACTAGAGTAAGAAAAGCAGCTTCCTGAGAAGAGAAATACAGGCATACGTGGGTGCCACAAGAGATATACCAGTATAAAAGAGGAAGGCAGACAATACCACAGCAACGGTACCTGAAGATCTCGATTATGCGTTACCACACTATGAGAATGGTGGCATATGATGTGGATTCTGAGTCCTTACAATAAACCTAGCACTGGGATCAGCAGTTGGTATAATGGCTATGTCGTTGGACTCCCATGTAGTCAACCACAGTTCGAGTACCGGACCCGGTGGGTTAAACTCAGGCCAGGCACGTGTGCATATGTGTCCAAAATCCGAGAGGAGAATGGAGGAGAAGGGATTGCGGCATGGCCATCCCCCTGGGGGGTGATTTCTCGCTTTCTGTCTCTCTGTCTTTCTGGCAAGCGCACGCACCCTATAGCAAAAACCTCTCTAAAAATAAATAAATAAGTAAAATTTAAAAATTAAAAAATAAACCTAGCACTGATACAGGTCCTGACAATGCAAAGATGATGAGCCACTGGAGGTACAGTCTAATGAGAAAGAGTAGATATTTTTGATTAGAGGCCATGAGGTAATACAACCCAGCACACGTACAAAGGAATTTCAAAAAGTTCACAGAGAAATGGAACTGAAATATAGGTTTATTGGGCCAGCAGGTGGCATGGTGGTTAAGACTCTAGACTCCCACATGGCCTACTATAGTTCGAGTCCCAGAACTGGTGACTTGCTTTTTTGCTTTCCCTTTCTCTCTCTCTCTCTGTCTCTCTCTGGTCAAATTAAAAGATAATAATAATAATAATAAAATTAAATGAATAATTCTTTTTTTAAAGAGTTTTTTATTTGATATTATTTATAATTATTATTCAATTTACTATAGGGTAGGTGCACTCACCAGAAAGGGGGGTGGGGGGTGTAAGAAAGCAAGCTGCCAGGTCTGGGACTCGAACTATGATAAGCATATGGGCAGTCCAGCACTTCAACCACCACACCAACTGCCGACCCCAATTCTCTTTCTTTTAATGATTTTTTTTTTTTTTGCTGCAAAAAAATTGAAATCCATGAATAATTTTTTTTCATAATGCACATTTTCCTTGAGCTTTTTGAAGATTCCTTATATGCCCAAACTCCTTGGTTTTTCCAGTTCGCTAAACTTCTTATTTAAAAAGGAGTACGCAAGTCGATTCCCAGAATATTTCGGATTGCAACCTCATGAACTAAGTATGAAAATACATTACTAAGGCTTAAATATTCCCCCAAAACTTGGCCCAGCTAGCTCTGGATGGAGGCCCAGATGTGCCCACCTGTTTTTCATCTCTCTAGGGATGAGGTGGAACTAGAGTAAGAAAAGCAGCTTCCTGAGAAGAGAAATACAGGCATACGTGGGTGCCACAAGAGATATACCAGTATAAAAGAGGAAGGCAGACAATACCACAGCAACGGTACCTGAAGATCTCGATTATGCGTTACCACACTATGAGAATGGTGGCATATGATGTGGATTCTGAGTCCTTACAATAAACCTAGCACTGGGATCAGCAGTTGGTATAATGGCTATGTCGTTGGACTCCCATGTAGTCAACCACAGTTCGAGTACCGGACCCGGTGGGTTAAACTCAGGCCAGGCACGTGTGCATATGTGTCCAAAATCCGAGAGGAGAATGGAGGAGAAGGGATTGCGGCATGGCCATCCCCCTGGGGGGTGATTTCTCGCTTTCTGTCTCTCTGTCTTTCTGGCAAGCGCACGCACCCTATAGCAAAAACCTCTCTAAAAATAAATAAATAAGTAAAATTTAAAAATTAAAAAATAAACCTAGCACTGATACAGGTCCTGACAATGCAAAGATGATGAGCCACTGGAGGTACAGTCTAATGAGAAAGAGCGTGTTAGATTATTATAGTAAATGCTCTGGTAGGGAGGAATATATGGGCTGGAGGAACCCAGAGGAGGGAGGGAGTGTCTGGAAGCTAGGGAGGACTTCATGGGGAAGATTGTTAAATTCAGAGAGCCTGAGGCTATGCAGAGATAAGGCAGAGGGTGAGAATTAACAGATAGGTAAACAGTTTCCTTGGGTCTGTCATTCACAGGCAGGCCAGGGTGCCAAGCCTAGCATATACAAAAAGCCCAAAAGATATCTGATGGGGTGGGAGAACAGTAGGAAGAGAGGATTTATTTAATAACTATAGCCAGGAGTATAAAACACCAAATTCTAAGAAAGTAGTCACAGGGCCATCAGGAGGCATGGGAGTTAATGTGCTAAACTCCCACATGGTAAAAATAGTTCAAGCCCTGGACCTGGCAGCTTGAAAATCATTCCAGGCACATGTGCATGCATGCCCAAGATCTCAGGAGGAAACGGATTGCAATATGGCCATCCCCTCCCCGGGGTGGGGGTGGGGGGGATGATTTTTCGCTTTCCCTCGCACTGTCTCTCTGTCTCTCTCTGGCAAGTGCATGCACCTGATGACAAAAACCTAAAAGGAAGAAGAAAGTAGTTGCAAGGCAGCCTAACAAGTCTGCTAAGACATCATTCTTATCTAAAGCTGTTTTTACCCAGTTATCATGTGCATTTACTTAAAGCCACTGCTTGGTGCTTGAATGAAGTGATATTTCATGAAAATTGGGAGTTTTCCAGTGAGAGAAAAATTAACAAAACTGTAGAGGAACATATAAAAGAGTTCCTGGCAATACTTGGGTTTCTTTGTACATTGAGAGCCTCTTCCTCAAAGTCTAAGGTGCTCCTCAGTTTAGTTCCATAAATGCCTTTAGATAATCAAAGGAGTCAGTAGTCATAATTTGAACATTTAAAGAGGTTCATTTGATAGGGGAAGTAAGTATATCTGGAACAATTCCCTTTCTAGAAAAAGTGGGGGAAAAGCTGTTTAAAGGATGGAAACAATCCAGTGTTCAACTGATGAATGAGGAAACAAAATATGGTATATCCATCCAGTCGATGGAATATTACTTGGTCATAAAAAGGAATGAAGTTCTAGTATGCATCTTATAGCATGGATGAACCTTGGAAACATTATGCAGAGTAAAAGATGCCGGTCACAAACAATTGCATATTGTGCAATCCCATTCTTGTGAAAATCCAGAAGAAACAAAATCAGAGGCAGAAAGTAGATTAGTGGTTGTTTAGGGCTGGGAGAATGGGAGGATGGGAGAACAATAGTATTTCTCTTTGTGGTGGTGCGAATGTTCTAAAATTGACTCTTACAGTGGTTGAATATATTTGCTGTGTTAATTGCTGCTTTAAATGGGTGAATTGTATGCTGTGTGGATTATACTTCTATGAAGCTGTTACTATTAAAAACAACAGACCTGGGGCCTGCAGGTGGCATGGTGGTTAAAGTGCCGGATTCCCACATGACCGACTGCAGTTGGAGTCCCACACCTGGCAGATTGCTTCTTCACTTCCCCTTTATCTCTCTGTATCTTTCTCTGGTCAAATTTAGAAATAATAAAAATATTTTTTAAAATATTAAAAATTTAAAAATAATAAAAATAATAAATATTTTAAATAATAATAATACATAAAATAACAGGGCTTTGCTTAAACTACAATGCTAGTTAGGATGCTGCTTTACATGTAACAAACTTTTTAAGTACTAGGGCTTAAACCAGATAGAAGCAATCCAAAGCCAATATGGTGGCACGACAGTGCTGGACCTCCAGGCCTTCTACTTTGTTATTCTGCTACCCTCAACATATGGCTTCTATCTTATGGTCCCAGTGGTAGCTTCAGCGCCTACCATATTGTCCTTGTTCGGCTAGCAGGAAGGGAGTACCCAAGAAGCAAAACTTATAGGCATTCCCCAAGGCATGTCCTGCTAGTGCGTAGGACCGCTAACAGTGACATCCCATCAGGGAAATGTGGTCTTTAGCTGGGTGCCGCGTACCCAGCCAGAAACCTGGGGTTCTGTCACCAAAGACAAGAAGAATGTCTAGTTATTATGAACAACAAGTTATTAGCTGCCACAGTCTTTCCCCACAAGCTTGGTGTTTATCAAAGCTGTCAAGCTGTAAGTGTTCTGATAACCTGATGTGCATTAGGTAAGACCCAAGACATTTGCTCTCTAGTTACAGTTACTTCATAACATTGAAAGACAAGTCGGATTCTCTTCCTTGGGCATGTTTATTTCTCCCTAGTTGGCATAGAGAAGCAACTGAAGAAAAGTTTCTTCCCCCTGAAGTAAGAGCTCACCCACAGACACAGTTTGGAGTAGCTCGTGTCTTCCGAACTACTGAGAGGTACATCTTATGCTTTCAGAGTGGGGCCTCGCTGGCTGTGGAGCTCAAGCGGTGGGCTCAGCTGGTCGTCTTGTCCTGTGGAGACCATCTGCCCACAGAGTCCAGGCTGGCCGCTGCTGAAGTCCTCACCAGCACCACACCTTTCTTCCTCACCAACCCCAATCCAACCCTTGGTAAGTGTGTGTTGGGCGCTTCCTATCCCAAGCGCACTAAGGACATGAATGGGTACTCTAGGCTAGAATAGAAAGGAAGATGGAAAATGGCGGCTTGCACCATACCTTTGCAGCTTTCCGCTATATTTCTGCCCTCCTAGTTCATAGTCTCATCACCAACAGCTTCTGAGCCAGCCTCTTTCCTTCAGTCTTATCCCTCAAGCCATTCTCCACAAAGCTTCTGAGAGCCTCTGTGGTCTTTTGGAAATGCAAATCTGATTATTTCAGTCCACTGCTCAAAACCTTTAGTTCTCATTGCCTTCAGGATAAAATCTAAATACCCCTTAACTGGATGATAAGGCCCTTCCTGTTTTGTCACTGGCCCACTCCTCCCTCCTCATCGCCCACCACTCCTGAACTCAGTCCCTATCCTGTCCATCATCAGCAGGCAGCAGCTCTCTAAACAGACCACTGCTTGGCTGACATCTGCTTGTTTCTCAAGACCCAGCCTAACACCTCCTCTTCCAGGAAGCCTGTAGCAGTAATTTAGGTAAGAATTGAATAGGTCAGTATGAAGCTGGAGCAGTGAGGAAAAAGGAAGGATAGACTCCGAAGACATCAGGAAGGAGAATCAACAAGACCTTGTAGAGTTGAGGTTGGTGGAGAAGGAAGAGTCTAGGCTTCTAGGCTTCTGGCTAAGTGACTGGGTGGGCTACTGGTTTCTTTCCCTGAATTTAGTTTTCATTTTAAGATATCTTTAGAACATAAAGATGGAAACATTTTGAAACGAAATGAATGTATAGATCTTAGCTGGTTTCCAGCCCTGTTCTCCACTTCTATGTCTCTGTTCACCGCCACTCTGTGCTTCAAGAGTAATAATTACCAAAGGGCATCACGTCATGTCCATGAAAAGGACTAATGGTGTTTAAGATGAAGCTTGAGGGAATCCTCAGGAATTTTACAGCATAGAATTATGTTTGTTTTGTTTTAATGTCTCGTTTCTTTTTTAAACATAAGATTTAATAAAGGAAAACCTGAACCTAAAGCAATGCTTCAGTCCTGACTCTGTCCTTCTCCGCTGTGTTAATGCCATAGAATCGTGTTATGATTCTCTGCTCATCTATTCTGTTTTTGTTTACAACTCCCATACTCAACCCCAAAGAATAAGACATGGTCCCAACCTCTAAGGAGCTTTCAGTATAGTTGTAGAGAAACGATTTACAGAATGAGAAAAGAACTGTTTTTGTTTGTTTGTTTATTTGTTTGTTTTTAATAGTGAAAGTCAAATTTTAAGTCTTATAGGAGTTCAGACAAATGAAGTATTTTTGGTCTCTGGATCTCTCTGGGAAACATAGTTTTCTTTGATATCCTTTTACTTATTTCTTCTTACTGACTTCAAGGTATTTTTCTAATACCCAAAAAGGGATCAAGAAGGGACACTGCAATAGTGACTCAATCATCTGACCCAGAGAAATAAGAGTAAAGGTTTATATATGTTGGTCAGGATTCTCGAGTAAGGCTAATACCATTTTATGGCACATTTTCTAGGTGACTTTGGCTATTTTACTCTAGCTTATGACTGGCAAAATGTGTGGAATGCCTGGAATTCCTGTGTGAAACTGAGTCTTGCAAAAACTATTGGTTCATAATTAGTCACTGGCGTTGGTTATAGCATTATAGGAAGTGTAGGCTGTTGGCCTACAAAAACATGAAAACAGGTACTGAATAGGAGAGAGAGGACATGAAAGAGGAGAGGGACAAGTCTAGGGCAGAGCAGTCATTTAAAGAAAAAGAAAAATTGAAATGGACCAAAAGGGAAGGATCTTAGGTATATAAATGATCTAGTTAAAGAGAAAAATACTAGAAAAGGAAATATGAAACCTCGTAGAATGATTAGAAAGAATGGATTCTGAAAGACTGAGTAAAATTCAAAGCTAGATCTGTAACAGAAAGAGCATGAAACCCCAAGTGGAGCTGCTGCTGTTCGTGGTATAACTGAAAGGCCAGCCGCTCTGATACCGTATTCATCATGGGCAGGACCGTGCCCCTGGAAAGCACAGGGACATACAGTGCTAGACCACTGGGTGCTGGTCTGCCATGGCCCTCGCGTTGATGCCCCTCTGCAAGCATAGGCCCAGCCTGCCTGTCCAACAGGTACCCTTGCTGTGAGGCCCTGCTCTCCTCTCACCTTCCTCCTGAAGTCTGCCTCAGTGGCAGTGGTCCACTGTGAGCTTTCCCTGCTGGCTGTGAGTCACAACCCCACAGTTTCCTTCGGGACTACCCACTGCCTTGTGTTCTTGTCGGTTGCTCAGGGGTAGATACTCTCTTTTCCTGTTCATTGTCCCAGTTAGCACCTAGCACAGGCTGAATGGACAGAGTCAGTGCCCGCGGTAATGACAGATGGCTAGTGGGCCCCACAAACATGTGACACAGGCTTATGCCGTTAGCATGGTTCCCTCCCTGGTTTTGATTCTTGCCCCCAAAGCATAATCTTGATTGATACTTGGCTTTCAGAATTTATAATCTCAGTCACTCGAATCAAGACTAGGCTACTTTCCCCAAAGCACTCAATACATAGTTTCCTTCTTGAGAATCATGACTCACTTGGAGTGTAGGGTTTCGGGTGGGAGCATAGGCAGTGCCTTTCTCAGCTGGCCACATTTCTAGGGGCCTTGGCCAGGGCTGGTTACCCCGAGAGAACCTTCTCTTTTCCCATGAAAAGACATTTTCAAATCTACCCTCTTAAGACCTATTGTCTCACAGTGCTTGTGTGGCTCTCATCTTCTCATCTGGTAATACACAGAGAAATAGCAGTGGCCGTGCCTCATTCAGCACTGTCTTCCACGTGGATTCAAAGCAGTACTTACATCTGCTTGTCAATTCCATTCTAAGTAATTTACATTCTTTTTGGTCTTCTTAGAGTTGCAGGATACACTTGCTCTCTGGAGATGCGTGCTCACCCTCTTGCAGAGTGAGGAGCAAGCCGTCCGAGATGCAGCCACAGAAACCGTGACGACCGCCATGTCACAAGAAAATACCTGCCAATCAACAGGTACCTCATTCTTACCCTTTTGCATTGCCTTATTACTCTAGGACAAAGGTTAGCCCACTCTTGTGTAACCAGCCAGATAGTGACTATTTCAGGCTTTTTTGGCCATTTTGTCTCTGTCTTAACATTCTGTCTTCACTCTGCCATTTTAGTGGGGAAGTAGCCATAAATAATGGGGGGAAAAAGAGCAGGTTTGGCTGGTGAGGTGGTGGTTAAGGCACTGGACTCCTACGTGGCCAACCGTAGTCCAAGTCTCAGACCTGGCAGCTTGCTTTCACATTTTTCCTCTTTCTCTCTGTCCCTCTCTGATCGAATTAGAAAAAAATAATGATGGTGAATAAAATTAAATAATTCTTTTTAAAACTGGCATAATCTTGTTCCAATGGAACGTTATTTACAAAAGCAGGCAGCTTCCCAGGTTAATCTGCTACCGTCATTTACTGATCCCTGCTCTGAACTAGAGAAGAATTGTTTTCAAAGGTAGAAATTTAATAAACTGTGTTTGGCCTTTTGTCATCTTTTTAAATGAAGATAAACTTAGATTATCTGTGTGGTTATAGTTCCTACAAGAGCTTTTTAAAAAAATTTTTTATTGATAATTTTGTACATATTTATGGAGTACATATAATTTTTCAGTACATAAATATAAAGTGTAAGGATCATATAAGGATAATTAGCATAGCTTTCTTTTCAAGTACTTTGTTAAGAATATTAAACATCTTTTTTAATTAACATATATCAATTATACATATTGTGGGAGTATAGTATGACTTTTCAGTACAGGAATATATATAATGTATAATGATTAAATCAGGGTAATTAGGGAACCAGCAGTTAGCGTAATGGCTATGTCGCTGGACTCCCACGTAGTCGACCGTGGTTCGCGTCCTGGACCCGGTGGCTTAAAACTCAAGCCGGGCACGTGTGCGTGCATGCCCAAGATCCCAAGAGGAGAATGGAGGAGAAGGGATTGCAGCGTGACCATCCCCTCTGGGAGGTGATTTCTCACTTTCTGTCTCTATGTCTCTCTCTGTCTGTCTGGCGAGCACACACGCCCTATAGCAAAAACCCCTCCAAAAAAAAGAAAAAGGAATAAAAAAAAAATATCAGGGTAATTAGTACGCCCATCAACTAACTTTTGGCATTACTTGTGGGAACGTTCAAAATTCTCTTATTAGTTACTTTGAGCTATATAGTATATCGTTGGTTGTCTTTTTATAACACTACAAATGGCTCCTCTTACCTCTCTGAAATTTTGTTTTTGTTGATCAGCATCTGTTTTCCCCACTACCAGCCATCCTTCCTACTTCTAGCAGTCATTCTTCGCTTCTCCACTTCTGTAAGGTCTATTGTTTTTGTTTCTGGAAGAGTGACACTTGGTGGATTCGCTGTGCTGGGGGCTGGGTGTCAGGAAAGTTCTCTGGGTCAGCCACCTCAGTGACAAGCAAGAATACCATTCTGACGGAAGAGTTCACAAGCCAAACAAAAAAGTTCATCTTAATGGACAACAGAATGGGAGAGGAAGTAGCCATGCAGTGTTCGTAACTGGCCCAGGGCCCCTCATCTCCAGGGTGGGGCTGCTCGTAGAGGTGATGCACGGGGTTGTGTTTCCTGGAAGCTTCCCCAAATATGTGAAGTCTCTGGTATCTGAGTCCTCAGTTACAGTGCTCTGTGTACTTTCCTCTGTGTATGTGGAAGAAGCTAAGTCTTGAATAATCTCTCAGTGATGCTACTGCAGGCTGCTTAAGCTTAACTGGAAAAGCATTCAGAATAGTGCCATGGGTGAGTCCAGGCAGGCTTCTCCACTCCAGGCCCCAGTCTGCCAGACTGATTTGATAGCTAAAATTCCGCCATTAGTGATTCATTCTCCTTTCTGACTGCAGCTTTTCTCTAGAGGATACACAAAATAACTAGTGAGTGCTCAGTAAATATTTGGTAAAATGTAACACTCAGAAGATTTCTCTAGGACCCTCTCAACAAAATATGGAAAAGATAACTTCATGGTGAATTCATAGGTGGAATCCATCCCTCCTAATCTTGGTATATTTTTAAAGAGTTATTTTTATTTAACTTTATTTATTTATTTATTTTAATTTGACCAGAGAGGGACAGAGTGAGAGAGAGAGAGAGAGAGTAGAGAGGAAAAGTGAGAAAGCAAGCTGCCAGGTCTGGGACTTGAACCACGGTCGACTATGTGGAAGTCCAGCGCCCTTAACTACCTATTGGCCCCATCCATCCTATTCTTTAGTCTATAGTCCTTTTTCTTTTTTTTTTTTTTTTCCTCTGCCATAGGGTACGTGCTCACCAAAGAGACAGAGACAGTGAGAGGAAATGTGAAAAGTCACCCTCACCTCCAGGAGAGATGGCCATACCACAATCCCTTCTCCATTCTCTTGCTAGGATTTGGGGCACACACACACAGGCTCCTGCATGAGTTTCAAGCTACTACTAGGTATGGACTCGAACCACAGTTGGCCAAGTGGGAGTCCAGCACCTTACCCACCACGCCACCTGCTGGCCCCTAATCTGTAGTCTTTTCCCTACTACTTTGTATTTCTTCCCGAATTCTATCAACTTCATTTGTGATAAAACTGTATTACTATTTTTTCCCTTCTTTTAGTTCCTCCCCTCCCTAGGAAATAAAAATCAGCAATTATATATTATATTAACTGTCTTCTACATATAAAACCCCATATATGAAAGGGACCAGCAGTTGGTGTAATGGCTATGTTGCTGGACTCCTACGTAGTCGACCGCGGTTCGAGTCCCGGACCTGGTGGCTTAAACTCACACCAGGTGCATGTGCGTGCGGTCCCAGACCCGGTGGCTTAAACTCACACTGGGCGTGTGTGCGTGCATGTCCAAGATCCTGAGAAGAGAATGGAGGAGAAGGGATTGCGGCGTGGCCATCCCCCCTGGGGGGGGTAATTTCTCGCTTTCTGTAAAAAAGTGAAAGTCTACTTGTTTTTTGTTTTTTTGTTTTTTGTTTTCATTTCTTTTCTTGGCCTAAATTAAAGGATTAGAGGTGCAAAAACAGACAAGAATTCTGTAACTGTTAGATGCACCTTAGCTGGGCCATATTCCCACCAGAGTGGGGGAAAGCCAGATAGGAAGTCATTAGAACAACTGACAACCAGTAGATTAAAATCAGTGTTAGATTTCCGAAATTTGATATATATACTGTGATTTTGTAAAAAAAAATTTTTTTGTTCTTAGGAAATTCACACTGAAGATATTAAGGAGTAAAGAGGCATAAGACCTGCCACTTTCTCTCAGGTGGTCTAGAAAAACTTGTTAATCACAGAATAGAGCTGCTGTACTAGGATCTGTAATTTGAAATTATTTCAAAGTTAAAAAAAAAAAATTTGTTTTTTTTAGTTCTATTTCAGGAGTCAGCTCCATAACCTAGTAGTTAAGTTAGCTGGATCCCACGTGGCCAGCTGTGTTGTAAATCCTGGTCCTGGCACCTTGAAATACATGTCGGTCACTTGTGCGTGCCCCAGATCCCAAAAGGATGCAGAAATAGAGAAGGGACTATGGTATGACCACCCCACTGGAGACTGCTTTCTTCCTCTCTGTCTCTCTCTAGTGAGCGTATATGTTCTCTGACAATTAAAAAAAAAAATTCAGTTCACAACTAGAAAAACTCAGAACAGTAATAGTGGTAGGCCATCTGATTGGTTTATCAGTAGATAATTTAGCCTTTAGAGTGACTTCTTTCCCCTAACTTATATTAAAACATCTTTTTTCTGCCTCTTGTTTGTTGTTGTTTTTGTTTCGTTTTGCCATAGGGCACGTGCACTTGCTAGAGACAATGAGAGGGAAAGTGAGAGATCACTCCTGGGGGTATGGTCATGCCACTATCGCTTCTCCATTCTCCTGGGATCTTGGGCACATGGGCACATGTGCCTGCCATGATTTTCAAGCTGCCAGGTCTGGGACTTGAACTGCAGTCAGCCATGTGGGAGTCCATGCCTTCATTATCATGCCACATACTGACCCACCTGCTCCTTTTTTAAAAAATACTTTTTTGGAATGAATTTCTACATCCAAAAAAACTAAGTTCAGGCCAGGCTCCTGTAGTGCAGAACTCTCAGCCACATCACTCCCCCGGTAGTGGCCCTTCTGCGGCCCGGGCATGCTTTCCCATTGCTCTCTGTTCTCCTGGTCAGGGATGTGCAGAATCTGTGTGGTACAGGTTGATTTTTTTTTAAGCATAAAATAACCATCTTTCTGCTTTAGATGGAAAACTAACAGAGGATTGAGAATCACCCTTGTTTTTTGGCATAATCAGAAGTTTAGCTTACTGATCCGTCAGAACAACACCATCTTCATTTAAGCATCTTCATTTTAACAAGGATATCAAGCCATGATGGTAACTCTTTTTTTTTTTAAGAGGTTTTTTGCTATAGGGTGCATGTGCTCGCCAGACAGAGATAGAAAGCAAGAAATCACCCCCCGGGGGGATGGCCACGCCACAGTCCCTTCTCCTCCATTCTCCTCTTGGGATCTTGGGCACACACGCACATGCGCCTGGAGTGAGTTTAAGCCACCGGGTCCAGGACGCGAACCACGGTCGACTACGTGGGAGTCCAGCGACATAGACGTTACACCAACTGCTGGTCCCCATGCCATGATGGTAACTCTTCACACTCCTTCAGCATACAGGGATTTTCTCTCTTTGATATTACAAGTTAGTTATCACTGTTGAATCTTGAGTTCCATAAAAATACGTGTTTATTTTGTTCCCAGATCAGTGGTTTAAGAAATGCCCTAGTAAAGTAACATTATTAAATTTTGTTAATATTTTAATGTCTTCTTTGAGAAGTCAAAATAATGACAAATTTTAAATTAATCCTCCCTTTTCCTCCAAAAAAAAAAAAACCCCGAAAACACAAGAATTCCATGCCTCTGAGATCTCACACTAAGCAAGGGCCAGATGCAGACAGGAAGAGTTTTGCTCTGACGCCATCCACCAACAGCCTGCTGGGGCCATGGGAAGT